GGGAGCAGGGGTCTTAGTGAGATGGAGGAGAGGTTTGTTTCAGGCACAGAAAAGGTTCCTATCATCGTAATGTGGCCCACTAGGGCTACGTGGATGATACGAGGAGCACTAAGCCACTGATGCCTCCAAGCCCCTCTGTGCTAGCTTAGCAAATGCTGAAATCTTCTCATGTAGGATTTCACCTTTGGAAAACATGAAGATTTCCCAAAGTCCTCGGTTTCAGTGTAAACATGCTACTCTTGGACTGGGAAAGGCACAGGTGGGCACAGGACAGTGAAACCCAGTAGCCAACGTTAAGGAGAAAGAGCAGAGGACGTGTCCTCTGAGCCTAATGGGCCACAGAAGCAGTAGAAGGGGACAATTTATGAGTCTAGGTGGGGCATCCTACCTGTAAGAACCTGGGCAGCTAGCCAAGGGCACCTGGAGTGCTGGAGGTGCTCAGAGGAAATGGAAGTGGGAGAAAGAAGAGAACAGGCTTTGCTGAGTGGAGACACAGAATGGCCACCTGGACAGGACAGAGAAATCACAGCAGCCACACAGACAGGGCTAATAATGGAGGGTGGCTGTTATCATCGATGGCTGCCTCGGGCAGGGGGGCCCTGTGAGGGCACAGCTGGCGTGGACGTCTAGCTGAGGCCCCTGGGTGGACCCTTGCCTTCCTGCTGATGGGGCATCCGCAGTGCAAGCCCCAAGGGGGAAAAGGACAACCTCAGCAGAAGGTGCCACCCCTGCCTCACCACTACACCAACCAGACAGAGGATGAACTGGCCTAGCGGCATCTGGGGATGGGAGGCAGTGTTCATTTCACAAACGTTACACACCACCAGTCTCTTGGAATGTCTTCCTTTCACTGGATGATTGGTCCAGAGCGGTGCACACCAGCCCACAGGAAGCAGGGTATTGTGGGTGGTGGGGATTTCTAGAAGTACTGAAGGCCACTCGACATACGTGGCTTCCTTGTCCATATACTTCTGTCCCATCTAAGCTCCTCTATCGGATCAGATCAACTTCCTCCTTGGCCTCAGGTCCCTGCACAACATGTCCTCTTCTAGGGAGCTTCCGTGGGCATTAGAGAATCTCTGTCAGCAGCTTTGCAGAGCATCTGCACCACCTGTGACACAGACTACCCAGCGCACATGGTATCAGGCTGACTTGAGGCGCTGCCCACAACCCTGGAAAGAGTTCCTGGGCCACCAGGAGGGCAAAGCATGTGGACCAATTAATTCCATGCCACCCATGCCACAAGCAAGTAACCCATTTGGCACTCGGGCCCTGGATAGGCTCGACTTGTAACACAGGACAAGGACACACCTATTCTGAAAGAAGACTCATGCTCTTTCTTGCATAAGTGGGGACCTGGAAAGAAACAGACTCTCGGGAAGGGTGTGGACAAGAACATTCTAATGAAATACCTCCTCGGCAGCCAAGGAGCACAGGAGAAGCAACGCTGGGGACTGCAGGGCAGCTGATCTGCAAGACATGCTGCTGAAATTCCAATGGCCTGATGCAGTTGAATCCTGAGTAAAATTGCAGGTTTTTCTCCTGAATCCAGCAGGCCCCCCTCTCCGTTCCAACTGGAAGAGCAGAGCACAGCCTGGACATGGTGTATTTCCCAAATAGCGTATCAACCACCCCACTGAGAAAAACCTTAAAAAAAAAAAAAGCTACATCCCAGGTTCAAAGCTGAAGTTCTGTGGAAATGAGAACAGCGTACTGTCTTCCCCTAACTCCATTAGGTTTGCACATCTGCTATCAAAGTACAGCCAATATAAGCCCTTGTTGATGTGACTAATAAGGTTAGGTAATTGGATTGGTGGCAGATTAGTTAAATAGCAGCCAGCCAGCCCCATCCTAGAGATCCCTGGGATGCAGGCAGGTGGCTGTGCACAGCTGTTCTGTGCATGTGCCAGTCACTACCAAGTGACCAGCAGCAAGAACAGATGGTGGGCCCACCACTTCAACAGCGTGGTAGGGTAGGGGCTGAACTGAGAACAGAAAGAAGTCAGAGAAGACAGAGCAGGCCCAGAGGCAAGCAGTGGTCCCAGAGAGCCCTGGGCCAAGGGCTGGGAGGAGCACAGGGGCTGAGATGGGCAGAGGAAGGACTGGCCAGTCTCTGTGACCAGCCACACAGGCCCACAGAGCAAGCGTGGCAGGGCCAGTGCAGCCTGACCCCCACCCAGGAAGCCAAGCGACAAGAGGCCTGGCCAACATGGGGACAATGAGGAAGCAGGTTTGGGAAGGGTAACCTTCCACCCGGGAGGCTGAGACAGGCCAAGAGAAAAAAATAAGGGTGATATCCCAGCAGAAAAGGAAATGGACCTTTTCCAAATTCCAAACAGATTAACAGAGAGACTTCTTTCACTAGCTTTGTTTTTTTGGCCTTTAGTTGAAAAACCCTTGGTGAGTCCCACCACTTGTCTGTGAAGGGACAAACAGGAGACAACACAGACGAATGAAGGGACACTGGATACCAGTCAAAAAATGCAAGTAGCTGAGCATGCTCAGCCTGACTGAGTTCTGGGGACCTGCATCTCCCTGCTTATGCTTTCACTGGCCTGCACTCACTGGGGGCACAGTATATGGCAGTGCAATTGCAAAACAGAAGTCAGTTTAGTTTTCTGGAAAGATGTTCCCCGGTAGTGAAAATTCCGAAGTCAGCCCCGGAGGCAAACGGCCGGGAATAGAGGCAAAACCGCCATGGCTCTCATTAGCTTTGTGCCACTCACAGACAAACCTGAGAGCCTGAGAGCCCCAGAAAAGGAAGCACCTGCTCAGAAGACTGTCTTAAGATACGTTAAACTTCTAGCAAGACAGGAATGAGGCAAAAAGAAGGGCCAACAGAAGAGGAACACTCAAAGCTGACCTCTCATTCGCCTCTTTACTCCAACTGCCCTTGACCTTATTTTGACACAAAACTGCTTAAAAGAATGACAAGTGACCATGTTTGAAAGGTCTTTGATCTTAGTTTCCTGGGCTAGTAACATTTATCTATATAAATTCATTTTTCTCCTTTACCTGATTCTCTAATTTAATAGCATTTTTTTCATAAGGTCCATCTTTGAAGACTGATTCATATACAATTCAAAATGTCAGATGTATTTTCAGCCTAGGATAAAGCATTTTAAATTACAATTCCTAGTTCTGGTGAGGTAGTAATGAGACTGGAGCACGATGTGGTGCCAGCAGCAGTGGAGATGGGTCAGATCTTATGACAACAGCATAAAAAATTTGGCAATGCTGTCAAAAGCTCTAAAAATACTTTGAATCAGCAATTCCATTTTGAAGAATGTATACCAGGAAAACATTCACAAGAAATTCAGGCTATATGCATGAGTATGTTCACTGCACAATGATAGTAGTACAATATAATAGTAGTAATAAGAGTAGGAAGAAAAATCTGTAGACAACCTGTAAGTTCAACTAAAGGGGATAGGTAAGAAAAGACTAACCAACTCATTTTCTGAAATGTCATACCATCATCAAAATCATGGTCATTACATTTTAACCAAGGAAAATGTCTTTGACATATCGTCCAACAAAAGGAGCAACAAAAAACATGGGCATCCTTTACAACATTACATTACATATGTACAAAAACTGAGAGAGGACCAGAGAAACAAAAACAGCTGTTCTTTTAAGATAGTCTCTATAAATTTTTAAATGAATAAATGTTAGGAAACCCTCTTCCCCTTTGGGAAGGGAAGGAAGGGAGGAAAGGGAGGGAAGGGAGGGAAGGGAGGAAGGGAGGAAGGGAGGAAGGGAGGAAGGGAGGAAGGGAGGAAGGAAGGAAGGGCTTCATGAGTTTATTTTATTCGCTTCTCATAACATCCCTTTCAAGCAGATTCTACCAATGTTACAGCTCTGAATCGGAGACTTAAAGATGTTCAGTAATTTGTTCAAAACCCAGGTGGTACCAGGCTAAGCTGCAAATCATGGTCTACCTGACTTCAGTATCTGAACTCAACTCTTATTCACAGAACAGAGGTTCTTTTAGCTTTGTGTCTGTTTTTGTTCTAGAAATAGCAACATTATTATTCTTCATGGCTATTACCTTCATGCAGTAATGGTGAAGACTGACCAATGGAAACCTAGAAACTATTCAAAGCTCCTTTAAACTACAAAGTACAAAGGTGGGGAAGGAAAATCTACTCTTTTAAATAACAGATCCCACTAAAACCACGCTGCCTTGATTGATACAGTTTTGCTTTCTCTTCAATGTAGGAATTTTCTTCAAAATCCCTCAAAAACCTACATAAAACAAATATTCCCTTACTTGAAATACTATAGTACTTTAACAATGGTTGTGCTGTGTAGAAGAACCCCTATCGTTTGGGTTCTTTTCCTGCCTCCTGCAAAAAGCATGTGGGCAAACCAGTAGCACACTAGGGAGAAAACCATGGTGTTCCTGCTTGGGGGCGTGTGCCCACCATGAGCACTGAAAAGGTCAACACTGTGCTTATGTTTCAGGGAGTCCAGGTAAGGAGACTTTGCTCTTCTCAAACATAAATTATTCAGATCCTGCTCTTCCTGGTGCTAAAGCATGTTTGGAGCACTTTACATACTTTCTCTGTGGCATTCTCATCAGTACCACTGCACAAGTAAAAAGATCGAGCCACACATTTCAAAGACTAGAAAGCAAAGCATGTAGACTTCACGATAACATGAATCGGCAATAAGCAGCCAGTCCCAGAGAACACAGTAACATCTGACTACACGCTCCAAGACTGCTCGTACCAAGGAGGGTGAAGAAGACACTTTTATTCAGAGTTTAATGTGTAAGGCAATCCAGATAAAAGTTAACAAGGAAAAGCCAAAAACAGAGCAAAATTCCCTTAAAGATGAGTAAAGGATGATAGGCTTCTTTAAAAAGGAAAAGTCCTTGGATTTTTACCTCTTAGCCTATTGGGAATTATGTTTTCCATATGCAACAACGTTAGCTCTAGAACCACCTAAAAGTCTTTTTCATGGTTTCAGTCTTGTGGTCCATCTTCTCCACTTACCGCACACCTATGTCCTTACCACCTGGAAGCTTCGGGTGGAGTGGAATTCGAACTGCATCATATCAAAGAAGATGGGGAGGGTAGCTTTGCGCAGCTCCATCTCAGGTATCAGTGTCATTTCTAATATTGGACCAACCATTTCTGGAATGAACTTTATCTTGTGTTGACCTTGAATAAAGAAATGCATTATTCAGAAATAAAACAATAACTCTAAAATGGGTTTTCATGGACAAATCAGAACCCAAATCACTGTGAGTCTAAATGTTAGGCTCTTGGTAATATGCATCCATTTCTTATTTGCAAGCATTTTGAATGTGTCCAGCCTTTAGCATAAGAAGTGAACTATATTCTAAATGTCCTAAGTGAAACCATTAAAAAATCCATCCAATATAAGGCCTGTAGCCATGACTTCTCTGTTACAGAAGGTAAATAAATGTTTTTGTTTCACAAATAGGCAATTACACCACACAGAGCAAAGCCATGAGTGGCTAACAGGCACCCAGTTTTGGACAGACATGGGCTGGGAGATGGAACACATGTTGTCTCAGTTTTAGACAACAAACAACAGTTGGCAAAGCAAGGGAGTACAGTTCATGGTCTCTTGGGTCCTCTGTGTCTCTCCAACATCTGAGGGAGAAGAACATACTATTTGGAACCTTTGTAAACAGTGCAGAGTGATTTCGGTAGCATTCTGAATGACTGCAATCAAAGAAATCAAAGCAATTTATTCAGTTAATTAATCCTACTAACATTGGCCTCAGAATATGAAGTTGTGAATATAGAAATAATTCTGCCTTCTTTGGCTAAGGCTTGTTTATTTAAATAACTTACTTATATATGCTTATTTAAATAACTACTTCATTGATCTCACCACGCCTATCTTCCCAGATACGATTTTTAAAGAATTCAGGATAAGTTTCTCAAAAGTTGTACTACTGCCATTGTGAGTGATAATGAATACTATATCAGCTAACACCTACCAAGTACTTACTGAGTGACAAGCCTCATAGAAAAAGTCTCACTGGACTCATACTAACTTTGTGAGGTGGCTACTATTCCTCTCTTTTTAAAAAAGAGACTTTATTTTTTACAGCAAAACTGAGAAGCAACAGAGATTGACCTTCGACCCGCTGCCCCATATATACATAGCCCCCTCAGTATCAGCATTCCCCCTAGGGTGGGTGCCATTCTTATCTCATTGCGCAGATGAGGAAACAGGGCCATTTTCAAGGCTGCAGCCCTGCTCAGTGGAAACAGGAGCAGGACCGGAATGTGGGTCTGTGATTCTGAAATACCTGCTGTGTCCCTGACTCCCTGCCTGCTTGTCACAGATCTTCCCACCTTCCCTGAATAGAAATGGTGCTGATTGTCCACACCACTCCCTTCTCTCTCTGCTGTTCAGTCACCCAAACGCCAAGGACAGTAACCTGTCATTTTATAGAGTATTACTGGGGAATCGTAATTCTAAACTGTGTGCCCCAGAAAGTAGACTGGATTCTTGCAGGCACTAAACCTTGTTTTTTTCCTTTCTATTTCAATTATTTTCTTTTCCTGAAGTCTTGGTGTCCCACCTTTCGAGGCTCTGCCTTTCACTCAGATGCTGCTAACTCAGAGTCTCCTTTTACCCACATTTTGCTGCAACCATGCCCCACCCCTGCAGTGGCCTCCATACCCTTGGGGTGTGCTGGCTCTAAATCCCTGCGGGCTGGAGCGTCATGGGTGAGCTTAGAGAGAGTGTCCAAAATGAACAGGAAAGATCTGGGGGAAGGCAGTGGAAAGATCGACAGCAACCACCTCCCTATTTCACTGCCTGGATGGAGCTGCTGGAAAACTCATTTCTAAAAAAGTGGGGAGAGTGCCTTCTCTAAGGTGATACGGTTACATTTAAATATAGGTCCCATCAAGAAAGCAGTCTTTTAAAAATCCTTCCCTCCTGTCTTATATTTCAAGAATCTTGATTTGATTTCATTTCACCCCATTATAATTTCTATCATTTCATTTCCAACACAGAAGAAGGCACAAGAATTAAATGCTTGAGTAGATTATTGTGAAATTTTGTTATTAACACCAGCAATTTATTCAGTTAATTGATCCTACTAACATTTTTATACAACCAGGAAACAGAATGGATGCTAAAGAATTTCATTTTCTTCAAATCTCAGATCATACACATTTTTTAAAAACAACCATTAAACAAATTTGACTATTACAAATAACTACACTTAACAAAATACACAATCCTCATAAATAACACATTTCTAAAATTTGTAAGGGTGCACAAACACACCAATAAAATATTCAGTAAGGAACCTGAATATAATTAAAATCTTACTTTGAAGTTTTACTAAATGAGAAAAAGTGTTTTTGACCAAGGCTATAATACAATTCTCATTAACTTCCCAAATGCTTAATATTTCTGAAAGGCATGTAACTACTGCAAAGCATTCTCTTAAAAATGCTGTTATATTCAGCCTCTCAGGTGACATTTTTCTTGTATTATGCTTAAAAATGTCAGAGCCAGTGTTTCAGAAAACAGATGACAGTGACAGCGAGTTGTTCGTCAACCACAGCGGAGTGTCACAGAGTGCCCTGTCTGTCACCGACAGCTCTGTGCCAAGCAGGAGACACATTAAAGCAGTAACAAGTGGTTGCAGGTGCAGGGATTGGGAAGTAAGTTATAAAAAAAATGATCGCTTCCTGATCTTCGATTATCAATCCTCCCATTAATACAGAAACCGTTGGCCTGAGGCCAGCATGGAGCTCTACTTCTAGTGACATCCCTGGAGATTTAACCTTTGCAAAGGAATGGTCTTCAAGGTGACCCAGGGCTGGGTGGCTCTCCACTATTCATCTATTTTTTTGACATTTGCATTATGGATTTCCCCTGGAGCATATCTTGCTCAAACTTAATGATGAACCCTGGTTTGGAATCAATGAAAATCAAGGTGACTCTGCAGTGTAGACTTCCAGGAAAAGAGGACGCTTGTTTTTTTTTGAGACAAAGGAAGGACCGGGTTATGACTGGATCACAATGGAAATGTTTCACCTCCAGTCTCCTGGTTACCACTCCCTAATTGTTCAAACCCCTCCCTGGAGTCCTACTTCTAGTTTACACAAGCTGGAGCCTCTCTCTAGGAAACCAAACTGTGCCCTTTCGGGGAAGCCCGATCCCCCATCAGCATCCTCTCCCTGGGCATTCAGATGATCGCTTTACAATCACAAACCCTCGGAAATCTGGGACATTTTAAACCATGTCTTACCCCAGGAAATCTCCACACAAGGGTAGACACAGCAAAAGTTTCCATTATTCAGTCTGATGAGGCCTGACTGTGTAAGGGTTTTAATGAAAAGCACACAGTTTGTTCAGTCCTCCCAATTACCCACGAAGGGAATCCCTGCTTGAAAAAATATCCCAGCCTGAACCTGGCCCCCAAAGAGATCTTGCTGCGCGCCCATTTGTTCTGGCCACATTGGCTGTGCTGTGCCGGCTCCAGTCCTCTGTATGTAACAAACAAAATGTAAATCGAGGCAGCAAGAGTGACAGTGAGATGGGGCGCTCCAGGAGGCTGCGGCATGGAGCACGCTTTGATAAATAACTGAAGAGCTGGGTAAATAAGCACATCCCCCCTATACCACCTTTTTGTAGAGAGAGACTGCTTTTCATTTCTCCTTTCAGACTCAAAATATGACAGGTTTGGGAGGAAAAAAAAAAAA